GTGGCATGCTTTATATAAAAGAACACCTTTCAGATGTACCATAACTACAAATGTTTGAAAACCAAATGATGTGATAACATCTGTTGTGATGAGCAACTATTAGAGAATGATAATAAGTAGAGGAAAAATGTAGCATTCATTTGTGTCTCAACACAAATAGAAAAAAGTCAAAAGCAAAACATGACTTAATAAAGGATATGGACAATCAAGAGGAAGCTTTCTTTGTTTTTCAGATAAAATGAAAATTTTAGAACAAACACTCTGCACTTCTGCATAAATGACTCCTCATAAACATGAAGGTTGATGTAAATAGACAATTGTATCTTTCACAGTATAAGTTGATAGAAATAATAGATTTTCCATCTAGAGACTAATGACATTAATTGTAATTAATCTGTTTGGACATAAAGTCAGAAAAAGTTGTCCTCCCTTGAGGGCTTGCTTAGCCTACAGCGTATATCATTTCAGTCTGTACATAGAATGTTTGGGGGGAAAAACATGGACTGCAAAAATAGTCCAGCAGTCAAATGTGCAAATACAGCAAAGCAAAAAAATGTGGTCAAGTGCCAAACATTTGTTAGAATATTTAACTAGAGTTAATACATGATAGCCAACAAACTGAGTTTGTGTTTGCTTAATTTATTATAGATTGAACTCCTCATTTCAGATAAATTTGTTATTTCTTTCCCCAGCAATCAGATAAAAGCCCTGGAACTGTTTTTATCTGCTTTAAGATCACAGATGGGCTTTTACTTTCTTTTATGTACTCCTGTACAGATATATCTGTGGATGGCTCACATGAAGAAATTACCACACAGTGAACACAGTGAAAAATGCCAAGCTGCAACATAAGGTGCTGTAGATACAGTAAAAAAACAGGGGCTCCATCTGTTCCCAACGCCACAAAGTGAATGGTAAATCCTAGTCCAACTATGCCCTTTTTTAAACATGCTTCAGAATCAGTGAGATAAGAAGGGGAGACTGGGGATGTTTGTCACTGTGCTTATCAGACAAACTAAAGAGCATTGTTTCATCTTGTATAAAATATCTGGCCTGATTCCATGCTTATTACCATCTAGACATTGTGTGGAGCACACACAAAACATTGAGGTGAGATAACATTTTGTGATTTTTATGTCATTTTAATTTGGATGTTGCTATTTTATTCAATATTTCAATATGATTCATTTTGAAAAAATAAGTTCAGTAGGCATTGAAGACATCTATCTTACAGTCCATTGTTTTCAAATGTTTTTTTTTTTAGATTTATTTTGGGGCTTTTTGTGCCTTTAATGGAGAGATAGGACAGTGGATAGAGTCGGAAACCAGGGAGAGAGAGAGAGAGAGGGGAACGACATGTGGGAGGGAGGCCACGGGCGGGATGTGAACCCGGGCCGCCAGCTTGATACAACAGCCTCAATTCATGAGGTGCGCGCACTACCAATTGCGCCACCAGCACGCCCTGTTTTTAAATGTTTTTGATAACACACACTAACTCACACACCCATCCAACCACCCACACACATACATACAAAATACATACTTTTATAACACTAAACACATTTGTCTTACTTAAAGGCAGGGTTGGTCATTTTCTCCAGATACACTTTTTTAAGATTCTGGTTGAAATTGTCTCTAGGTCCTGACCCAGCTCCTGGGTACTGACGGGAATGCTACTTTCAAAATCATGCTAGTTTTTCAAAAATGACCAACCCTGCCTTTAATTGCAGAGGATAATTCTAATAATGAACACATAATTAGGGTATTGATGATCATAAAGATTTCTTTCTTTAACTTAAAAAATGAAAAAGTTATGCATATTTCTTTTGCACTTTTCCACCCACTAAAATCCCACTGATAGCCATAGGAACAACCAGCCCTCATTAGGTTGGTTGTCACAATGGATTGGAGTGTCTTTGATGATTTATAACTTGCCATTAAAATGATTTACATAAATAGAAGGGATACACATTTCACAGCAAGTCTGTAAGCTTTGCTGTAATGTAGGAGTGACTACTGTAAAATGTGTTCATCATGACTAATTCACACAAGAGTAAAAAGTGTGACAGCCAACCCCGGTTTCCTCTACAATGCTTTTCCAGCATGTGATGTATGTGATATGATCACTCATTCAGTCTAATGAGTCTCTCATGAAATGTGTCAGACATGGTGAGTAAAATGCTTGATCTACCTGCTGTATCTGTAGTTATGTACTGGATGTTACTTATACCAGAGGCTTGTACGCATATGGATGTTGGATGGTGTGAGGAGAATTAGTACATTACCTTAATGTATGAGTCAAAGAAAAACAAGCAACCTCACATTTGTGACAAACACATAGCCATCCAGTCATGTTTAATTATACTTGTATTGCTAGGATACAATAAATAGTGACTTTTAATGTAACTCAAACTGTTATAGTTATACTTTAACTCCTCACAATGGGACTGTGGTGGTTTTCTAACAGGTATCAGAAATAAACTACAGACTCCAAATTGAGAAAAATGCAGCTGCATGACCCTTTCCAAAATAAATGTCAATAAATAAGAACACATTACACCTGTTTAAATGACCTTACATTGGCTGCTGATACCCTTAAGGGTTGGTTTGGAAGATTTTACTTTAATTATTTTTTAAGCACACCATGGCCTGTCCCCATAAATGAACTTCTCTCCTTTTACTTACCAGTTCACAGTCTGAAATCCTCAGGCAAGGACCCCTTACCATTCCACCCACACACTTTAAGACTAAAGGTGTCCAAACATACCTGAACATTAAAACTGTGGAAAAACAACTGACAGAGCAATGCTGACTTGCTACAATGGTAACATCATTTTTTTCCCCATAATAAAACTTTATTGAAACATTTTCTTGTTATTCTAATTTACTATCCATTATGTCATGGTTTGAGTTCATTTTATAATTTCTTTATTCAGGTGTTTAGTTTAGTTTGTTTATACCATTAGACCACCTGTCTGCCTCTCTGCCCACATATTGTCCTCACCAGTTCATTCCCATCACACACCTGTTCCCTGTTGCCTGATAAGCTCCCTGCTCATTTAACCAGTTCACTTCCCCTCAGTCTGTTGAACCTCAGCTCTGTATCGTATTGGATAGTATACTATTTGATCAATTGACCATAGCCTGAATCTGGATTTTGCCTCAGCCTGACCCCTGTACACGTTCGCCTGCCTAGATTTGATCCTTCATTCTTTTCATTGTAATTAAAGACTGCTGGTTTTTTTAACCCAGTTTTGCTACTTGGAACTCAGTTTTGCCTTGGAACTCTGACACGTTATTTATTATTAGTCAACAATTGTTTTAAGTAAGTCCTCTTTTTTTCTGTCTTCCTGTTTATTTCTACACTGTTGTGTATTCTATTGTTTTGCACTTGATATGTTTTATAAAGCACTTTGTAACGTCGGTTTTGATATGTGGTACACGGATAAGCTTTATAATTACATTGATATAACTACTTAGCTGCAGAGCATTAGCTTCTATAGCCAACAGGCTGTAACATTACACTGTACAGCTCCTTCCTAAAGGCCTTCTGAGGTTCCTTTGTGTCATGATGAACCTTATACATCTGCAGGCCAGCTCAGTTAGCGACTGACCTTTCATTACTGTCTGTACATTATAAGTGATTCTAAGGGGACTGGGAAGAGCGACTGCACCAAACTCCAATATTTCTTATTGATTCATATTACTGTGAGGCATGAATCAAAACAGCACAAATGTCTGGAGCAACCATATGGTGTAATGTAGTGGACATAATGATTGGAAACACAACAAAGGCATGCAGGGGCATTTTGGAAAAGAGTAACATTAAGAAACGAATATGCTCCATCAGCACTATAATAAAATGTGATAGTAATTCTAAAAGAGAAATAGTTGTATTGCTCATATATGTAGGCTATTTAATTAATAATCTATTTCTTGTCGTCGTATTATTATTGTAATTTTATAATTTATTTCTTGCTCTCCTTATTATTTATTTCTCTTTCATTAATATTCTCATTCTCATTATTATGACTGTGATTTCCAGATGACAAAAACATCCTGTGGACAAGTGTTGAGAATTAGCATGTGTGTTAAAACACACAAACAATGCATCTGGTTAGTCCAATGTGATCGTGACGTCCATGTTAAATCAAAATCTATCTATCTATTTAAAAAAAACAGAAATTGACACTCTTATATAAAACAATCTATAGGTAATGTTGTATTAACATAACATGATCTTGTTCATGATAAGAAGCTATTTGCAGTAACATATTGCATGACTTTTAAAAAATAGAATGTTTATCTCTTCTCCCACGTACCTAAACCCTTCAACGGCTCCCCAAATATGGATTCCTTCCCTTTTTCAATTGTTCATGCACCCTCTGTTGTTCTGTGAGATCATACAGGAACCTAAACACGACATGTCATTTATTTCATTTCCTCAGCTCCTTCCTTAGAAGTTTAGGAAGAGAGGTGATCTCATGAGAAAGGATGAGCTTTTAACCCCTCTTGCGAAACGAATGTAAGGGACAAATTATTTTCATTTCAGCCACTGGCCCACAGGTCAAAGATCTCACGCTAAGATGGCTCGTTAGCTCTGGAAACCCGGCTCTGTAGAGAAAAGAAGCTGCTCTTTACTCCCACTGATGCAACATCCAGGCGCACAGAGTCTCTTTCACTTTGATTCATGCTGTTTGAAGAGGCTGCGAGGCGGTGACAGGTTCTTTAGTAAGATCCTTTATGATGTGTGAAATTATTAATTTAAGGGGTGCAAGGCCCTGAGAGTGAACATCTCTACTTGAATGCCACTAAACACTCCTTAAGTCTGTTTAATTCACTTAAAACATCCGACACACTGTGTTAACTGAAATAGATAGCGGATGAGGTTTTAATCACCGGAAACACAAAGCTAATAACAACAGTGTTTCTTCACCAGATCACTGACTGAGCAGGGGGAATCCTTTACATTCTCATATCAATGACATACTGTTCACAGCTTTGGAAAGCACGAGTCGTTTAATAACTGATTCAGAAATCCCCCATCTATGAGAGATATAATGTGAGGGAACAAGACAGTAATAGAATTATTACATTTTCTCTCCATTGTTTACAGCACTCTTGCAGTAAAAGGGAAACTGCAACAAAAATAATAAAAGCCTATTGGAAGGGCTTTGATCTCGTCCTCATAACGCCACAGCAGCAGCCTGAATATTCCCTGTGAGCGTACACGTTCAAAAGAAAGAAAGTCGTTTTACCATTAGCATGATAGCATCAAATGCTGTCAGATAAAAGAAACTTTGTGATAGGGCAGAATGCCAAATGAGCATTTGCTTTTATCAGATTGTCAGGTGAGGCAGTGAAGAAGGCAGCATTTAAGAACTCTTTATAAATGAAGCATTTGGTCTGGATGAGAGTGTGCTGATATTACCACAGGTAAGACATGCTGGTTTGCACATTTAATGGGTGTCAGGTCATGTTAAGTGGTATGTTTTGTTTTGTTTTCCTCACAGGCAATGTTGGATATATACACCCTGTTGCTCAAAGTGCCCCAATTCTGATTTCCTTCATCTGCCCCAGTTTGGATGTTTTCTGATTAGTGTGAACAGCAAAAAGATGCACAGAGTCGCAGTTTTCCAATTCCCACCTGGGGAATGTGTGGTGCACAATCACATCCCAGGGCGGCAACCTGCTGCAGCTTGAATATGGAAACATATTCCAGATTTTTTTTTGTCAGCACTGCCATGACTGTGTTACTTGATGACGACGATCTCACATATATTATAATAGATGAAAGGCATTCTATATTATAATTATTGATCCACAACTGCATCTCATCATGGCATGGCGGTGACTCGAGCCAGAGGAGATGCTAATTTGCGTATACTAACATGCTCAAGATAGCAACCCCTTACAAGCTGATTTTTAGCATTAACAATGTAAACCATTTCCTTAATTTATTGTAGCTTGAAATCATGTTGACAGTGGTTAATTGGAACTTAAAAGAAAGTACAGCAGAGGCTTGTTGGAAAATAATTAGTTTTGCAGGTACAAGGTCATAAATAGAGGCTTCAGATGAATTCAAATTACAACAAATTAAAATATCATTGTAATATAATTTATATTGTAATTAAAGGACAACTGTTTTTGATAAAGTGACATCTAGTTAGACAAGTAACTTGACTTCCCAAAATGTAGAGGAAACCCTACAGCGGCTGCAAAACTAATACAGACATGGAAGCCATTTCCAGAAAGAGTGTTTGGTTTATCCATTCTAGGCTTACTTTAAAACATTGCATTGCAAAGTAGGGCCAATGAAAGATGTCCTATTTCTTCTTGAAAAAATAATTAAAAATTTCAGCATATATACACCAATGACTATCCTTAATAGTACGCAATTTCCATTTAACCGGTGTTTTAAGTGTTCATTTGTATGTATTTTATTTTGTGTTAAATTACTATTATTAAAGCACTTGTCTCAGATTATGAAATATATATAATAAAGCTGCCTTTTCAGGGCTTCACCATAGCAGATGAAATGTAGTGAACTTTGGGGTTGATTACAGCCAATAGTTATTGAGACATTTCATTACAAATATTCACTTGTTTAAAATTCTGAACATATTGTAGTTCATCCTGGATATCCTCATCGGGCTATAAGTGTTTGATCAATCCTTTACACAATGGACTGCCTTTGCCTTGACAGAGAAAGATCATGGGTTACAGAATAAGTGTTTTTATAATTGTAACAAAAAAAAAACTGAAAGGGAAGGTAATAAAAGGAAATCTGCTCAATCCGTGTCATTTTCATCAATTTAAACTACTTACATCAATTTGAGGGGTACGATTAAGATTTATTTCCTTTTGAAAATATACCCATGAATTTGTCATAAGAAAACAATTTACAACCTTTTAACATTTTATCACAACATGATCACACAAGTTACAACCCACATCCCTGCATTACAAAGAATTGCCCTTAATTGTTTTACATTTTTTTTCTAAACATTTAAAACATTTTCAACAAAAAACCAAACAATACAAGATTCCACTACAACTTTCAAATTTGCCATCTATTAAATACCCAGTGCCCCAGGGAAGAATACGGACACACTAGCTTTGAAGTGGTGCGATCAAAGAAAAATGAGAGAGGAGGGGGAAATTCAACCCATAAATCTGTGAAGCTCAACTTTGTCTTGTCCCAAAGAGGGTATCGGCCAGTAAATCTTTGCTGTTGTTTCTGGCCACAGACTCTTTTATCATATCAAGGGATTTGTCTTGCAAGAAAATCTGCCCATGATTTATTGTGCTATAAAATGGGTTCAACATGCCATTTCTATAGCTAACAGCTTTTTCAGAGTAATAACACAACTGACAACTGCTTTTTTTTTTTTCAGGAAAAGCATCTAGTGTTGCAGGAAAGTGAGCTCTTTGGTAAAGACAAAGCTCTTAATTCACATTGTAACCACTGTGGGTCTTTTCATTAAGATAAAAAAAAGAAATCCCCATCTACTGCTGGAGTTATTCAAAGGGGGATAATGACTTATTTTAAAATGTATGCAGCATTTCTCTTGAATATCATAATTGTGATTTTGCATACAAACATAGATAATCCTCAGTTTTTTTTTTTTCACAACAGTGACAATACTGTCGTTAGAATGATGGAACAGAGGCCTGAAAAAAGCCTTGGACCCTTTCATTCGTTTTAATTGTTCCATCCAACAACAAAGGCAATGCGTGCACATGCACAAAGAAACGCACAAATGCAACATGCGCACACTGATGCACTCACACATACACACACTTCTGCACACATGAACACAACACACACCTTTCATACTGCAGCTAATATGGGTATTACACAATTTAGTCCTGACATGTTGCAGCGATGATAGCTCTACTGCCACACAAAGATCCCTATCACTCCCAGCGGCTCTCTCTCTCTTTCACCTTGATGTTACGGTGAGTCGACAACATCATTACTCATCACATCACTGAAACACATGCCTAGTGTAGCACTATATCACTCCCATATTGATATGTTGGTTATAGTTTTATATTCAAAGTACTGTATGAGAACATTATTTCATATAAACACGTCCACTGTTTCATATATCACTTCTATATTCACATGCCCACTTTATCACTAGATCACTGTCATTTTGACACCCACTATATTGGTACATCACTTTCGTTTGTCACAAATCCACTCTCATAGAAAAAAAAAAGTTTTTTTTTTTTTCATGTGATATGTGGACAATTTTCTTGTTGACTTGCAACCATGTGTTTTAGTCTTAATATTTTTCATATCATTTTCATGTTTACCCGTCTCGGGCCACTTGATTCAGACACCTCTGCTGATGCCCCATTGGATTTGCGAGGGACATACTCAATATCAAAGTTGCTCTTATGGCGTCCTTTCCCTCGACTCCAGGCGAACAGAAGCAGGAAACAAAAGATTACCACACCCAGGAAAGACAGGCAGCCCATAGCTGTAGATATAATGATAGTCTTAATGTCTATAGGGACTGTCATGTTGTACAGTACTGTCCCATTCCCCCATGTGCTGTTAGAGTCTGTCAGATAGTTTGAGCTCCTGTTGCTATAGTGAGATCTGTCCCCAATACCCAGACTCTTAACAGCTAAAGAGGCAGACAGGCTCGCGTTGCCAGCAGGGTTACTTGCAATACACAAATACACACCGCTGTCATGCAGCTCTGCTGTCTTGATCTCAAGGGTACCATCTGACTGAACTTCCACCCTACCACTGCTCTTGGTTGTGATGTAGCGTCTGTGAGGTGTAATCCAGACCACTGAGGGCCGAGGTGCTCCTTCTGCCAAGCAGCTCAGGCGGGCAGGTTGACCCTCATCAGTCATCAGCAGCTGGGTCGTGTTGGGTCCAATCCGTGGTTTGGTGCAGGTCATGTATCGGGAGACCAGAGGCTCCTTGAGGTCACGAAGAGATCTTCCCAAGAGGTGCTGGGGGGCACTGCACTCAGGCTGGACATCCAGAATCTGCAGAGAGGGGGGCTTGTGGCTGTTGAGCAGCCAAAGCAATCTACAGTCGCACACTAATGGGTTTCCACCCAGACAGAGCCTCTGGAGGCTGTCTGTCGAGGCGAACACTCCTCTCTCCAGAGAGTCCAGGTGGTTGTCTGACACATCCAGTAGTTGCAAAGATTTGAGGCCTAAAAATGCAAAAGGCTCAATAGAAATCAAATGAGATCCCTGCAGCCGAAGCTCTACCAGGTGTGAGAGTTGGCCCAGCTCTCCCTGATGGATGTGCTGGATGCGGCAGTAGGACAAGTTGAGATGTGTGAGGTAGTGCAGGTTGTGCAGTGCGGCTCCAGGGAAGGCAGACAGGTTAGTGTTGGTTATGAACAATGTTGTGAGGTTGAGACCATGCAGAGAGAGGGGAGGCAGTGTGTCCAACCAGGGCCAGTAATCAATCTCTAGTAGGCGGAGTCGTGATAACCTCTTAAAAGAAAAAGGCTTTAGAAAACCAATGCTCAGGTAGCGCAAGTGCAGTTCAACCAGGCTAGGGAGATGTCCTAGAGCGTCAGTAGGAACTACTGTGAGATTTGAACGTTCCAGGGTAAGACTTTGGAGTCCAAGTAATCCTGTAAAGGCCCGCTGAGAAACGAAAACTAACTCATTGTCACCGACCTCCAGGGACGTCAACCTGCGCAGGTCTTGGAAGGCATGATCCAAGAGAACCACCAACCGGTTGTGGCTGAGGTCGAGGCGGGAGAGATTGGTCAGGCCTGACAGCACACCAGCAGGAACCAGCTGCAACAAGTTACTGCGAAAGTTGAGTGAGCGGAGAGCAAGCTGAGAGCGGAATGAGCCGGGCTCGACCACACTGATGAGGTTGTCGCTGAGATCCAGGTCCTCCAGCTGAAGGAATGAAGAGAAGTTGTCTGGCGTAATGATGCGCAGCTTGTTCTTACTAAGGTCCAGGACACGTGTCTCAATAGGGATTCCTTCGGGGATGGTGGGCAGGCGCTTGCGATGGCAACTAACCGACTTGCTTTGCGCAGAGCACTCACATCGTGCAGGGCAGCTCCGAGCCAAGCTGGCCAGGAGAAGCAGCAAGGCCCCGCCCAGGAAGAGATGGCACTGGTGCAGGGCTGGGTGTCGCATGTCTCTTTTACCCACGTTGCCCCCTGTCATGGCACAGCTTCTTGTACATACAGAGCACCATCACGAACAAGCCCTGGAACACAGAATACATGAGATGTGTCAATAAACTCCTTAACCAACAAAAGTCAAACTTTGTTTTTTTACCCGTCTTGCCTTTTTACATTTCCACCCTTTACACTTTCTGTTTCTTTAAACTTACATGTCTTTTCTCTTTAAATGAACTGTCCTTTTTCTTGGCAAGGTGGATGTAACATTGAATTAAAACTCACAGCAGGACAAGACAGCAAGAGAAATATCAGCGGCATAAAAATTTAAACGTTCATCACTTTCGTAGCACAAAAGATTGCAGGCTAACTTCGGGCGTTTTCATGAGGATGGAAGATAAAAAAATTCCCTTTTAAGAGTGCAGGGAGACTAAAAGCCCATGTGGATTTATTGTTGCTGCATATGTGTGACTTGATACTTTGCATCAGTGACAATGGGGTTTCTTTGTCTGCATCTGAGTGGGTTTGGTGATGACTGAACTATATAGCAAGTGTCACAACTAAAATACAAACTATTTTATAAAAAAATACAAAAAACAAACTAAACTGGAAATACAATGTGAATCCTGAGGAAATCTCCAGCACTATTTGCCAGGCAAACATAACCCCAGTATAGGATGAATGGAAACAAATTAATGGCTGTTTAAAGTTTTCATTTAAGTCATCTCACAACTTAATTTTTCATTCCTTCATTTTGCACAGGTTGGACTGAATTTCTTCATTTTAAAATGTTAGTGTTTGAACACAAGACATTTTAACTACGCAAAACAAGTTTTGCAAATACTTTTGGAAAAGTTAGCAACGAGCAAAAGAACTGTGGAAATTACAGATGCATACATTTACATAATACTCACAGAATTCACAAGCTTCATTGCTTTAATGCTCTGTTGGTTTCTGTTTACTTCTTGTTACAACACATTAGGCCTACTTCCTTTTCATATTCCATATACCTTGCATTTTGCTGCATTACTTTTGTTTGAAATAGCATGGCGCTGACAACCCAATCAGTTTCAATTAAGGATCAAAACATCTAAGGCTGGAGTGATTGTTTCTGTTTTTAAACCTCATTGTTTCCTGTGTTGGGAATTCTTTTTACATTTTTCTTGTACTCAAACAGGGCACCACTTCTTAGCTGCTGTACCATATGTGAAGGAATGACAACATTAAGGAAAGGACACAGGGTTCAGTTATTAAACATAATGTTATCTGGAAGCTTTACTTCTTCACAGATTGGAAGGACAGCCCTTAACAGAGGAACACTTTCCAGCAGCCACAGGTTGTTGACTTGACAGATGGCTCAGTACACAGAGAAGCTGACCGTAATTGCCCCATTACCAGTAGTGTCTGCATTCTGCTCATGGCTATCTTTGGCAATTAGGTGTGCAAAAAATAAGACACATCTGTGAGCAGTGAGACTTTGAATGCATCATAAAGGCAAAGAAAAATGATAGAAATATGAAAGGCGCCTTTAAAAAAGCTATTGACTGCTAGCACAGCTCTTGTCAATCACAGCAAAGCAAAATCCTGCCAAGGTAAGCAGATGATGAGCACATAGGCAGACACATACCTTACTTTGATAGTGAAGTGAGTGACATTCAGAAAATAGCTAAGATGAGGCAGAAAGAGCCGGAGAGCACACACACACTCCACTCTTTCTCTTCCCCACAGCACTCACCCCTCCGCCCGGCTCAGCAGCTGCACTGCTTGCATCTCCATATCTCCGCTCCTTTCTCTCTTCTTTTTTTTTAAATCTCTGTTTTATCTTTCCGTCTTCTTGTTCACACATCTTCCATCTAACTCCTTTTCTCTCCCTGGTCCTGGCTGGCCTGGCAAAACCCCAGTCCGTTCATCAGTCCCTGCAGGCTGGGTTTTTATCGATCGCAGCACAGAAACATCAGATGCCAGGAATGTAGCCTTTAACAAAGACCAGGCCGTTGCCACAGCAACCAGAAACCCTGACTCCTATCCGATCTATGTAGTCTGCCAATCAAATTAATGAAAAAAGGAAAAACATAGAGTAAGGAGGGTCACATTTTTTCATATCCCTTTAGTCCTTGCATTGAGAGAGAACTCAAATTGAATAAATTCTTAGAAATTCTGTTTCATTGGTACAGCGAGATTTAGGTGTTTCCAATCCGTCATTCTGGCTGCCTTGCTATTTGTCGACCTGTCTTGTTGCCCATCCATCTGCTGCTCTGGTAACTATGTCTGTCTATCCACCTTATTATCTATCCACAAGCCCACTCCTGTCTTTGTGCATTTATCAGTCTGTCTTAACCTGTCAGCCTCCGTTTCTTGCTCCCTCTCTGTTTAATAATTACAGTCCAGTTGTGTGTTGCTGCAGCGGGGGACAGGTCTGGTTATCTGTTGGTGAGTTGTACATCAGGCAGCATGCAGTCTGTTCACTGGTCTGCTGACAGCTGGTGCACACACACACCAAAACACAATAGCCATCTTACTTAATTCCTATGAGGGAAAGTACATGATAGAATGGGGATATTCATGCCAGAGATTTTTTACTTTCTTTATTATACCTTCACAAAAGTGCAGCTTCTCTTGAAGGCCATAAAAATACTGTAATATATTGAATTTCCAGGAGAAATGGTTGCATTTTTAAGTCTGCCTAAAAATTAGGCTAAATTATAATAAATGTCAACTAAAAATCTGTCACAATTGAGGTTTAACTACCAGTATGTGCACAATAAAACCTATAAACCATGACCTTAAATTGAAATATTAAGTCATAACCTTAAAAAAAAAGCTCTGACTTGGCTCTAGACCAGCTGTCTGTTTGATGGCCCTACATATATTTGTCGTTAGTAGAGCCTGTCCTGAAGCAGCTTTTTGTTTGAAGGATTTACTTATTTGCCTTAAGACATGTCTCTCGTACTGCAGCATCAAAATGTAATGCCACACTGTATGGAATAAAATGCAGTAATATGTGAGCCTTCAAGAATTTATGACAGTATGTGGTTTCAGGGAGTATAGTACAAATATCCAAAAGAGAAGCAGCTTTAAAGTCACAATAAGGTTTAGCAAATCCCATTACAGTGGCAAGAATTTAAATCTCACATAAATATGTCTTTAATCATTAATTTAGATAACTGCTCAGAAATAGTCAGCTCAATCAGTACTGCATGTATAGCCTCATGTTTAAAGATTTAGAAACTTGCAACTGAAAGTTGCTTGTAGTCATAAACCCAGCGATATTTATGACCCAGCTTTGAAGCTCCATTTAGTACAAGGGATCATTTTAGTTAGCCTATTGTTCCAACAGCATATTATTCTGATATCCCAACAGTCTTAAAAGTTGCCCTAAAAGGACAAGGAGCCCATTTATCCGATAGCCGGTAAAATTACCAAATCAAAAATATTCCGAGATCACAGTATAAATGTTTCATTAGATTAGTTGTTTTGATGGTCAGGGTAAGGCACTGGAGAATTCATTATTTCAATAATTACATTCAATTCTAATTTGAGACACTTCAGCAACATGAACAATGTCGGTATTGACGTCACAACTGAATGGAGATTGTGTTTTGATCATTTAGGCTTCATGTCTTTTAAAATGTATTTTGTTCACTATTGTTTTCTGAAGGTTGTTTTTTTTGTTTGACTAAAGGCTGTTGGACAATCAGGCTTTCGGTTTATTGGGATTTGTTTCAGTGTAATGGGATTTTGGAAAAGCAAACTGTTCGAACAATGCATTTCATTGACCCATAAGATTGTCAACTACTTTATTGGCAATACATTCTCAATTTTCACTTTTTTTTTTAAACACCAACAAGCTTTTTTAGCGACAGAAATTTTGAAAAAAAAAAATCCACTACCTGTAATAATTTGAATATAGGCTGACCCAGGTTGACCTTGGTGGCACAGAGTACACTGGTGGCCAGTTACTGTATGCCTTTTCAACATAGTCATATTTTTAGAAACGCTTGGAGCCAACTGTGTCATCAGCAGGATTGAAAACCTACAAGATCCCACAGAATCCTGAGCAAATGGTAATGGTAAATGGGGTCATTTAGAAGGGCAGCCTGCAGGGTTGACCGTTTTGGGATTTGGTTCTGAATTGGATTAGAGTCAGTAAAACTGTAGAAAATCTGACAGCCGAAAAAGGAGCTGTAGGGTGATGCATGAGTCATTTTGAGAGTGAGAGGGAAAGAGAGATGAAGGAAAAAATAGAGAACAGAGTTTCAGATAAAGCAGCAATACTTGGAGGAATGACGAAAGCCCCACTTACGCGATTGCATAAAATCCTTGTTTGCATGAGTTGACTGGGAGTTTGAATGTGATTTTAACCGAGTTAAGCTTGAGAAACTGATTACAGCTCTTCAAGGAGAACTCTGTAATACACGAGCAATGCTCGCTGCACGTGTTGATTTTAATCTGTGGGCCAATCTGTCAAGATGAGCACCATTAAATCCCTGTTCATTATCACACAACTTTCTAAACCCACAGCCTTTTACTGCAGCACAGCACATGCATTTTTGACTGAGAAGGGCTTAATTGAACCATACCAATGAATTTTTGAAACAACATTAATTGCAGTATTGAAAGCAGGGAAATTATAAATGAATAATTAATGAATTATATTGACAGAATATGTGCCTGACACTTTTCCTGTTGCCTTAAGGTGCTAATTAACCAAATGCTTTGTGTTGTCTCTTTGTGCTGAGTAACATCTGCAGTGATTCAACTAGGTTAATATTATAAGCACAGTATCCTAATATGCATGGTTTGAGGCACTTTATAGGCATGGCTAGCTTTTGTGTTTGCCGTGCATAGTGCTCTCTACTATAAATCCTCAACACCCCCCCCCCAACACACAGTCTTGCAAACACGAGGTTTTGAATTGATCAACATGACTGCAATTATTCTGCACCCAGCACCTTGGAAAGAGGCCATTATTATTTTCCTCAACATAAATCGTATTCAGTTCACTTCCACTTCAACCTCTGCAAAAAGAAAAAGCTTTAGGCACATTTTACACTTGTTTGCTCATTTTAAGAAGAGTTCTGTATTTCTT